CGGCCTTCTTTAATAAGGACGTGTGAAGGACGTTTTCCTGAGTCTGACATCATTTTAAAGTTATTAAAAACACAAGCACTGCTCACTGCTGCTCATCTCACTCTGACTGGACTCACTTGATGCTCGTTGTCATGGTAACGTCCACACTAAGTGGTACTGTACACATGCACGTAATTTTGGATCGGATTACTTGTAGTGAGCATGTAAACGGATTTTCATCAGATTGTTGAGTAGACAGCATATAAACACATCAGTCTTAATCTATAATCAGACGGTATTCAATCAGATTGACAAAAAACTTTGCGTGTAAATGCAGCCAATATCAGGTTCAGCTCAGTTTTTTCAGTACTTTTCCAGATGAACCTGAATGTGATTTGGTTCCAAAATCGCTTAGGCTCAACCACAGGTTCTAAATCTGATATAGTCCTGCGGTCACTCTCTTCTTCGGAATCTGAGCTCCAGGTCAAATATTATCTCATAGAAGCTATCTAATGTGTCATTTATTCTTAAAGTAGAAATGTTGTAATCTGCAAAGCGCTTAGCAACTAACGCTCAGTTGTTGTGACAAAACTGTGCTAGTATTTGTGATAGCAAACACTAAAACGCTTCTCAACCAATCAGATCCAGCTGTTAGGACTAACTTTTGTTTAATGTAATGTATTTCAATCTAGTGGAACGAATGTACACCTTCTTTCAGCAGTCTGTTGAACCAGTCACATACAGACACCCTACAGTTGTCATCCTGGAATGTGGCAGTGTCAATGTAGCCATTCTTCATTCAATAGCTATTCTTCATTGAAGAATGGGTTAAAATGGACAGGTATTGTCTCAAAAGATGGGTTTAATCATTACCTCACATGTTTAGAGCTGTCAATAAAGAAATTGGATGCATAACCATGTGGTACACTGCAAAAAATGATATCTTAGTGAGTGAAAATATCTTAAATGTAGTCAATACATAATATTGTGAGATTATTTAATTTATTTCTAGACATTTTTTCCTTGTTTTAAGCATTACTTTTTGAAATGAGCAAAATGATCTTCATTATTTTTTGAAACAAGTAAACTAATCTGCCAATGGAATAAGACACTTTCAGTAGATAAAATCACTTAAAACAAGTAAAAATGTACAGAAACAGGTGGAATAATCTTATAATATTCTTACAAAAATCCCATAATGAGAAACGTTAGATTTATACACTACATTTAAGACGTTTTCACTTGTTAAAATATTATGTTTTGCAGTGTTCTGCGACTTTCAGTGAGCTACGAGTGAGAAATAGTTTATCAAAGTGTAAGAAGAGGTGTTTCGAGGCTTATTGTCCATGGACAGCCTAGGAGGGTTAAATGATGATCTTGTGTGGGCTGAATCTGCTTTGTTAGAAGAGGAAGAACACAGCTGTGCAGTGCAGGAGTAAATCAGGTTCAGAGGTTTCAGAAATTCTGCATTGTAGGCCAATTATGTAGCAAATCAGGCCTGTGATGAGTTATTGGAGAGCGATAAGATCCTCGACCCCCTCATGCTCTTTTTTTAACTCAGCAGAACTGAATAGGGTGTAGTTTAGACTTCAGGATGTCTGCACTAAAATCACACTGACAAAAACATCCTTTGGTTTTTCATGGATTCAAATGTGCACATTGAACATTAATAAATCAATATCACCATATCAACACAACTGCAATAATTGTGTTGATGTAACATGCAGTAATGTACAAAATGCTTAGGATATGTGAAGCCATTTATCTGAACAGTAAGTGTTTATTTGTTCAAGAAACACTAACCTTAGAATAAATAAACAAATATACAGTTCATTTTGATTTCAGGTGCACAAGCGTGTTGAAACAAAGCCACTCAAGCCTTAAGTCCAAATATCTCTATAAATTAAAAGCAATAGCTAATAAGAAATGCAAATGTAAAATGCCATAAAAAGCAAGATATTTAAATTCAAATATAAATCTATGTTGCCTTCTGATAATAGAAGATAATTCACTCACATCCTCAGAAGATGCATCCATCACCGAGTTCTGACCAAGTTCTCTTTGAATTCTCCTTCAATACATTCATAATTATCAGATTCATCCACCCGGGGAAGGGGTGCGAGCAACCCACGTTACAAAACGTTCTTCGAAAAGTTCATGCAATTACACATTTTCACCAGAGAGGTCCCCAAATCCCCAAATCTTACCTAGTGCAGCTTTAAGGGAAACATTTATGAAAAGAAAAATTAAATTAAGACTCAAAGTGGAGCTCCAGGAGAAGAAAATGATTTAAGGAGTTCAGAAGGTTATTCAGTTTCATCAAACATAGAGAAACTTCAAGATGACTTTCAATGTAAAGCCATGTTTACAGAGTGTATTTGGCAATCAAGAACAGCAAGGTTGTGGCCTGCTGACCAGCACATTGCTATTGTCGGAACGAAACATTGCATCTCCAAAAAGGTAACTTTAAAACATACTTTACTTTTAATGTAACTTAATAGAACCAGACTTTTTTCCAAGTTATTTTGGGCTGTTTCTTTTTTATTTAATTTATACACAATGTAAAGGACAACAGGCATTTTCAAATTATATCAAAAACTGGAAAAATTGAAAAAATAGAGGTAATAGGTTTTGTTCTGACAGCAGCGATATGTTGGCTAGCCAGTACTAGTTTCTTCTGAAATGTTTTTTGCTACCTAGTAAATAGACAATATCATTGTGCCACTTAAAAGCAGCAAAAGGAGTATAAGACTTTTTTCGATTGCATGGACCCCAAGCCCCCCACTGTCAATGTGGAAATGTAATCCAGCCTTATGACTTTTGCACAATACTGTATTTCATTTATGTGCAACCAATATAACCCCAAAGCTTTTTTTCAGTTTGACCTTAAACAGGGATCACAGCTGTTCCTGATCATTACCCTTCACAAAAGCTTTGGTTGTATAATCGCTCTTCCCACCTGGAGGCATGTGCTGCAAATACAAGCCAGTCATGCTCATCTGGTGGATCAGAGATGCAGAGGTGTGATGAGGAAGGGTTAACTGCCTTCATCCTTCACATATGGTGTTCAGAACCTGTGGGTATTGGGCTCTCCTCACTCTCACCTTGAAACTGTACTGAAATCAGTTTCGGTATAGAGAGCTGGGATGTGTCCAAGCTAAGTGCTCAATTAGCCAGACTAGGCCGTATGATGGCTCCTATTTGGAAGACAGCTGTAAAGAGAGAACCGCACACATCTGTTCAGAATGAAAGGGATCATATTATGGAAAACTGAGTTTATTGAGTATTTAAGTGTTATGTAAACATAATAATAATAATAATAATAATAATAATAATAATAATAATATTGTTAAAGTTTTTAAACACACCTTTCATTCCCAGTCAATACAGTCCAATATATGGAAACTAAGTTGGCCGTTTTGAATTAGTCATGGTTGTGATGTGACAACTAAAAATGAAGTGATGCAGCAGGTTGTTCCTGCACACAGTCCTTAGCAGACGTATTGAAGTGGAAGATGCGTCCATAAATATTTCATATTGCACAGCAAAAAGGTTATAGTTTACAGTGCATAGTCACTCGGTTCATTCACTGGAGGGGACATGCACCACTGCACCGTCAACTGCATTGTATTTATGCGATTGTAATACTTATTTTTGTACTGCACATTATATTTTTATTGTTGTTTCAGTATATTTTATTATTTAACTTATACTGCATCTGTTTAATAGCATACGGCAATACTTTTGCTCCTGTTTTGCTCTTGACTGTACTTTGTGCTGCTGTAATAGACGACTTTCCTTCCCTGGGATTAATAAAGCCATCCATCCATCCATCCACCCATTTATCCATCCATCCATCCACCCATTTATCCATCCACCCATCCACCCACCCATTTATCCATCCATCCATCCATCCATCCATCCTTCGACCCATTTATCTATCCATTCATCCATCCACCCACCCATTTATCTATCCATCCATCCATCCACCCATCCATCCATCCACCCATTTATCTATCCATCATCCATCCATTTAACTTTCCATATACTCATCCATCCATCATCCGCCCATTTATCTATCCATCCATCCACCCATTTATCTATCCATCATCCATCCATCCACCCATTTATCTATCCATCCATCCACCCATTTATCTATCCATCATCCATCCATCATCCACCCATTTATCTATCCATCCATCCACCCATTTATCTATCTATCCATCCATCCATCTATTTACAGGGTAACTCACATCAGCACATGCTCACCATATCTATCACCATAATTTCACCATATTTAATCTTAATTTTTTCTCCAGACTCAGTTATGCTACTTTTTTTCAATTTTAACAAGAAAATCTTGCAGGTTTAATTCTAAGGGATGAAGATCAATCAATCAATCAATCAATCAATCAATCAATCAATCAATACAGAGCAAGGGATGAAGAGGGGTTGGTGTAAATGTAAAAATGAATTATGGACTGTTTTGGCACATGAACCCACACAAACATGACAAGTTGACCTCTAAGGAAAAGGTGTAACAAGTTATTAAAAGCAATGGCAGATTATCGTGACAGTCGCTCTCTTTCCGACGCGCACTTTTCACAACGTATTCACGAGGGCTGCATCTCTGAAAACAAATAAAAACAACTGTTAATTAATCCATATGAACATAATTAAATGTGATTAAGACTAATGCTTAAAGGTGCAATTACTGTGAGCTTGAGGAAAACACAGCTAATTAATTCACAGAGAGAAAGAAGGTGAGAACAAGAAAGATTATGTTGCATTCTGAGTGAAGAAAAATGCGTTCGCGGTGCGTTCGCCTTACAGATGCGTCCTTTTTCACTCAGACTGCAATAACTCCCCGAAAACATTACTGTCACCAGCATTTCCGTTCCAGTGAGTCTCTCCTGCATCCTGTTTTGCACACATTATTGATTCTGATTGCCTCTTAGATGCCTGGCTGTTTGTGTTTACTATACGCTGTAGAGTGTGTTGTATGTGTGATGTCTGCGCAGGTGTTTCGGAGAGGACGTGTGCATCACCATCCCTGATATTGAGGCAGTTGTCATGGTAATGCAGCCGAGTGAACCACGCATCACCATCACTGGCGCAGAGCAACTCAACACGCCAGCCTCTGACCTTGCTCTCGGCCTATTGCTGTTCAGGGATTTGCATATCTTCAGCACCATTACCAAGAGCGATGGGATCGTCCCTAATACAGGTACTGACCAAAATCATACCAAACACATCTCCCGGATATCATAATGGACACCTGTTATACAGATATGTACACTAACCGGCCACTTTATTAGAAACCTCTACTTTGTAGAGCTAGAAATATCTGTCCGAACCCGAGACCCCACTGCTTACGCCAGGTTTGGGTGTCATTTTCCGAATATGTGTCGAGCAGAGGCCAGGTTCAGATTTCCTATTTGGGTTCTCACAGTCTGCCTCCAAGTTTAAAAGACCCTGTACTTCCCACGTACTTTGGTTTTACTCCTTAATTTCTTCTTCCTCTCTAGCTCAACACTATAAAACCGTTTTAATCTGGCTTTAATACTGGAAACTCCCACTCGTGTTGAATTTAGAACAGAGGTCCATGAGGCTCAAGCTTAAAGAAAATGGCTGAGCAGAAAATAAACTGAGAATTGATTCAGGAAAGTACATATTAGTGAAGCTAGAAGGACATTTAATGTGTTTGTAAACATGTTATATGTACTATGTTTTTTGCTGTTACAACCCCATGTTGTGTCTAGGGCATTGTGGGATCAGTAGCATATAGCATTTAAAAGACTGGTGATGATAGATTAAAAGATGGAGGAACAGGCCAATAGAGCTTTTGTAGCCATTTTATTAAAACCAACCACAATAAAATGGAGTGCTATGATATCTAGTACCACACTGGAAGAGTCAAACTGTGGACAGCACCAAAGAAAAGAACTAAACAAAACCTAACCTCACTAGCCTACTCTGAAACAAAAAGTATTTAGCTAACCTAAAAGAAAAAAAAAACAAAAGCTAACCATTTCCCACTCCTGGCCAGTAACCAAAAGTACATGTGGTGGTGCCCTCTGACCTGGGGAACTAGACAGAGTAGACTTCTAGATGGTGTGAATGTATAGGCACTCCTCTGACCTGTTTGAAACCCCAGGTGGTACAAATAACCAAACAATCTCTTGTAAAACAGTTAAAAGTGTGCAGGTAAAATACCACAAAACACTTCTCCAAACACAAGACAAAATCTTGCAAACTAAGTTAAAAGAAGTGCTGGTAAAATATCTAAAATACAGCACACATTTAATCAGTCCTCTCTCTTCAGCCATCTTGAAGGCCTCTTTTAAATCTTAGGCTCCTCCCCCCATCTACACCAGCCAGGCCTCTGATTGGTTAGAAGTCCTCCTCACATGACTGACTGCAGGGCAGGTACACCTGTGAAGGGAAGGACCAGAAGAGAGACAGAGACACAAACACATAAAAAGACCAAAATACTCTATTTACACTATTTAAGTATTAAATAGATGAAGGCTAACATCCTGCTATGTCAGCACCACACTGCATCAAAACAATGCATGATGTAAAGTTTATCCTGACTAAAAACTTGTATCCACTCACTGGCCACTTTATTAGAAACACGTACTGTGTACTTCCATTTACTGGCCACATTATTAGAAACATGTACCTTGTACTTTCACTCAGTGGCCACTTTATTAGAAACACCTACCTTGTACTTCCACTCACTGGCCACTTTATTAGAAACACTTGCCTTGTACTTCCACTCACTGGTCACTTTATTGGAAACACCTTGTACTTTCACTCACTGGCCACTTTATTAGAAACACCTGCCTTGTACTTACTAACTGGCCACTTTACTGAAAACACATACCTTGTACTTCCTCTAACTGGCCACTTTATTAGAAACACATACCTTGTGCTTCCACTCACTGGTCACTTTATTGGAAACCCATACCTTGTGCTTCCACTCACTGGTCACTTTATTGGAAATACATACCTTGTGCCTTCACTCACTGGCCACTTTATTGGAAACCCATACCTTGTACTTCCACTCACTGGTCACTTTATTGGAAACCCATACCTTGTACTTCCACTCACTGGTCACTTTATTGGAAACACATACCTTGTACTTCCACTCACTGGTCACTTTATTGGAAACACCTACCTTGTGCTTCCACTAACTGGCCACTTTACTGGAAACACGTACCTTATAGTTCCACTCACTGGCCACTTTATTAGAAACACATACCTTGTTCTTCCACTCGCTGGCCACTTTACTGGAAACACATACCTTGTTCTTCCACTCACAGGCCACTTTATTGGAAACCCATACCTTGTACTTCCACTCTCTGGCCACTTTATTGAAAACACCTACTTTATAGGTCCACTATATAGTGTACAAGTGCAGACTATTGCCCATCTGTTGTCATGTGCAATTAGTTTTTTCATGCTCTGTCCACAAATGTGTTCTTTACTAGCAGATGTTGCTAGGTTGGACGTGCTTTACAGAACATTGGCAAAAAAAAATCTAATTCAATTTAAAATGTTTTATTAATTTCAAATGTCAAATGATTTTTGTTTTACATGCATACACAATAAAAAGCATTTGAAATTAAAAATGCACCTAAATTGTACTTTGACAAAAACAGTGCTACAGTTTCTCATTAGATTGCATTGAATTGTTGTCAGTGCTCTTGTCTAACCTAGCAACAGCTGCTATGAAAGACCACGTTTGTGGGTGGAGCATAGATTTATCAGCCCACTAAAAAACAAAATAAAACCCAATTTATCATTGTTTAGTTTCTGACCACAGGACCGCTGTTCTCCAGGTATTATTTGGGTGGTGGTCCATTCTCAGGACGTCAGTGTCACTGCAAGGTTGAGAGTGGACCACCACCCAAAAATATCCAGCCAAGAGCAGCTCTGTGGTCAGAAACTGACCATTGATAAAGAACTATAGGATGAATAACACAAACTGTACATCAACAGTTGAGCTACAGTCTCTAATAAAGTGGCCGGTGAGTGTATAATTCAACACTGCATTTATATACTCAGTTAGAGAGAGGCGCTGCCTTCAGTGAGTACAAACCAGCACGCGGCGGCAGAACATTACATTATTAATTTATCTATCCGTGCGTGCGGCTCTGCTGAGGGATAAAAACAGCAAAACAACAACAAAGTCATAAATAAGTGAAGAAACGACACCTGGGCCGCGAGCGCAGTCCCATCTCAGCTCTAAATAGATGATATCCTCATTCATTTATGAACACGTCCTTCCTCTGGCTTTCGTTATAAACTCCCTCTTTCTCCCTCTCCGTCTCCCTCTCTCTCTCTCTCTCTCACCTCATTTAATTCTCGCAAACACATCACAGATTTTAACTTTTCATACACACCTGAGAGAGCATCTGCTGCTGGTTGACAGAGAGAGATAGAAACAAGAGGGAGAGAGAGAGCCTTACAAAGAAAAAGAAAGAGAAAGAGTGAGAGAGTGCAAAAGGGAGAGAATGAGAGAGAGAAAGAGGGTGGGTGAAGGGGAAGAGAGAAACAGAGAAAGAAGGTAGAAAATAGTGAAAGAGAGAGAGAGGAAAAGAGAAGAGATAATAATAGCAATAATGATAATAATAATAATAATCATAATGAATAATTGTTTTATTTGTATAGTAAAACATAATATAAAGCTATACAGAGCCTCCAAAAACTTAGAACTAAGGGAGAGAGAAAAAAGAGATAGAGGGAAAGGGGGAAGGAGAGAGACAGTAAAAGAATGGTAAAGAAAGAGAGAGAAAGGGAGAGAGTGAGAGAAAGAAAAGGGGAGAGAGATAGAGAAAGAGAGAGACATTCAGAGAGACAGAGAAATAAGATGGAGAGACATACAGAGAGAGAAATAAGAGAAAGAGAGAGACACAGAGAGAGAAATAAGAGGGAGAGACATACAGAGAGAGATATGAGAAAGAGAGAGACTTGCACAGAGAGAAATAAGAGAAAGAGAGACATACAGAGAGATCGAGAAAGAGAGAGACACAGACAGAAATAAGAGAAAGAGAGAGAGACAGAGAGAGAAATAAGAGAAGGAGAGAGACACAGAGGGAGAGACATACAGATAGAGACTTGCAGAGAGAGAAATAAGAGAAAGAGAGACAGAGACAGAGAGATTGAGAAAGAGAGACACAGACAGACATAAGAGAAAGAGAGACACAGAGAGAAATAAGAGAAAGAGAGACATACAGAGAGAGATATAAGAGAAAAAGAGAGACACAGGGAGAAATATGAGAAAGAGAGAGACATACAGAGAGAGATATGAGAAAAAGAGGCATACAGAGAGAGAACTAAGAGAAAAAGAGAGACATACAGAGAGAGAGAGATACCGAGCTAGAGAGAGAATTACAACTAAGGGAGGGAGGAAGGGGGGAGAGAGAGAGAGAGAGAGAGAGAGAGAGAGAGAGAGAGAGAGAGAGAGAGAGAGAGTCAAATGTTTAAATAGATGCTGTTACATGTTTGTCCAAGTTCTAAGACTTCATGATCGGTTCAGGTCAGTCAGAACAGCACTGTGGCACTAATCCTCAAGTCTATCAGACGTCACTGTGATGTTTTCAGTGTGCAGTTAGCCCAGTGCTGATTGTTGATATATAAGCTTCTATCACTTGTTAGCTACATTAGCCTTGCAGCTCCAGTGCAGAACTGGACATGTCTTAACTGATCAACATCTTTTGCGGTCAGGAGGAAAAGTGTGTACACTCGATGTTCGGCTGAACGTCTGCATTAACGTTTGTGTGCAGAGCACAGGTCAGGGGTTTTAGAGGAGATGGTCCACAACCTCGACTACTGTGACGTCCTGGTTTTGGGGGAGGAGTTAAAGAAGGGTCTGGAGAGTCTGCACCTGCCCCGCAGTGCACTACTGGGAAAACATCTGGACTGCACCAACTCCACCACTGGGATGTCCATTTATGGTGAATACAGCACAAACGTCCAAAACACTGAACTAAAATCTCCCTTATACACTGACGTTAACAGGTCTGGACGCAAACACTGATTTTTAAAAAAAATATTGTACACGTGATCTCTCCATGCTCTGCTTTCACTGTAGGCAACTATTATTAAATGTACAGGATGTGTGCAAAAGTTTAAGCACCCCTCGTCTGACTTTTTATTGATTTTTTTTACACTCTAAGTCAGGGGTGTCAAACTCAACCACTAAAAGGGCCAAATTAAAAAATCTCAACAAATCTGTTGGTCAGCTGTGTTTTTATTTTATTCTTACTTAACGTTTTGCCTTAACCTGAACAGGCCATTGTTTATTCAAAATATGCCAAAACTACTGCAGCAAAAATTAGGCATTGAATACGTGAACTATTCAAATAAAATTTTTAAATAAAAACACGTTGTTTTATACAAAACAACAGGCTACATTAGCTGCAGATCACTGTTAAACCTCTTTAAATGTCCCCAGTGTGCAGTAGGTTTTTAAAACTGCCTATTTGCCCGAACTAGACACCTGGCATCTTTTCTTAATGTGTACCTGCTGGCCCATAGGTCGTTGTTGGGGGGAGGGGGTCGAAGTGCACATTATGTTGTAGTGCATGCTGGGAACTGTAGTGCAGCTCATGGTGAAACAAGCTAATATTAATAGAAAATTCAAATAATTTTGTGGGCCTTGCGTTTGACACATGGTTAAATAATGTCATATCTATGTTAAAGATAACACAAAGTGTGTTTCCATAACTGGGCACAGAAATATTTCATCACATTTTGTGTCAAAAGTAACACAGAATGTGTTGTTTTTTAAAACACTTTCAGAGTGTAAGTGAAAATAAGTTACACATCCTCCACAGAGAACACACTTCTGCACATTTTAATACACAATTACGTAAATACTAAATGTTTTCTCCACATTTTAGTGCATAAATTTGATTTATTTGCTGAATTTAAAACATTTGGGAAAAAATAAAATGTCGCAAAATGTCTTGGCACCTTTTATATTCTATGTCTTTTTTTTTCCAATATGCTAAACTCAGCAAATAAATAGAAATTGTGCAGCTAAAATCTGCAGAGCAATGCAGTATTTAAGTGTTTTCTTTGTAGAGAAGGTTCATTTATTTTCACTTAGAAAATCAGTGAAACGTCATTTGACCAAAAGTGTTCAAACTTTACATCCGACTGTAGCAACTATGTACAAGCCCACTGAGTTTATTATGAAGTTGAATGTGAACTTTGACGATGTTCTATAAATTTGTCCAACCTAGTAACAGTTCCTACAAGTGAACACTTTTATGAGCAGAGCACAGACAGGTCAGTCAAGTTCATTTGCAGTCAAACCAACACAACATGACAGGTTTACTAACATCAGCTTTGTTTGGTGTTTTTTAAATCGTGTCTCCAAACTTTTGACTTGCAAACATCTCTGTGTAATTGTGCGTCTGTGTGTGCTGCAGGTGTGGACTCCATGTCTCATTACGCTCAGGTGATCAGACAGGTGCGCTTCCAGAGCCTGCGGACAGGTATGTCTGTGCGCAGCTTCAGAGTGAGCTGCTCCGAACTTAACGGACGATACACCAGCAACCAGTTCACACTGCAGGTGAGAGAGAGTGACAGAGTTTGAACACCCAGTAAAAGCACACGTCTTGTTTTAATCAACAATATCCATTCATTTGTAAGGAGCCCCTGAAGGAACGTGGTGTAATTTTTAAGTGAAAGGGATGTGGTGTATTTTTTTTTAGGTAAAAATCTGGTGCGCACCTGATACTATCACATATATATATCAAATATAAAATTTACCAAAACTTTTTTGGGGATAAATTGTATACTTTTTTTCAATATGTTAAGTTCAGGAAATGAGCATTATATAACACCTTCTATAGTGCTTCTCATAATAATAATAATAATAATAATAACAATAATAATAATAATAATAGTAATAATAATAATAATAATAATAATCTCAAAACACACACACATATATATATATATGTATATATATATATATATATATATATATATATATATATATATATATATGACAGTACTAAGAATAAAAGATATAAACAAACAAACAAATAAATAAACAGCGTAAGTCTACTGTCATATATTAAAAAGCAAGAGTATTAAAAAAGGCTGTTTGTGTTAATCTCTGAAACACTTGCTGAGCAGAGTGAGGAGCGTCCATTTCACAGGGACGTCTGTTGGTCAGTTTGTGTTAGATTCAAGTGCTGGGATGCTGCCGACCAGAGGCTTCTACGAATGGAGAAAACATGCGTGTAAGAGTTGATGAAATAAGGGACTCTCGCAGCGTCGCTGTCTCTTATTATATGTGTGATCTTAACACTTTTCTCTCTTTCTGTTTCTCTTGATTCACTCAGGTTAATGTTCTCCACAGAGAAAAAGCAGTCAAACATGTCAATCACATGGTGGCTCCGCCCAAATACACACAACTTATCCATCAACCAAACATACCTTCAAATGGCCACAGCTCTGGTAAGTGACAGTGAGCATGTATCTGTATGTATTACAGTTTTTCTTTTATCATAGGTCTCATGCATTTCATGCAATAAGTTTCTGTTTTCAAAACTCTTAACTCATTTCTTCTCACCATCATGCGGCTCAGCAGATCATGTCACATCCAGAATTAGTAGGAATCATTGGGCCTTCAGAAAAGAGTAAAAATGAGCTAAAAATTACAGGCATATTTCTAGTACGCTCGTAATTTCTAGTTCATTTTATTTCATATAATCATCATATTTGTTGAATTTAAACTCTGCAAATACTGTAATAATACTCTTTTTTGGTTGTTACATTTTGTGGAAACAAAAGACTTAAAATCTTGAAAAACCCAATTTAAAATTATCCAGTCAGGAGTTTTTTCTCTGTGCTATCTAAGTAGATACAGTCAAGCGAGCTCTCCTATTGGTTAGGACTTCAGGGGCCGAACTGAAAGCCTTACACGTTAGATTATTGCTGCAGTCAACTGAAACTCATTACTCAGAATTTTCCACTTTTCAATAGGAATAATCAAAGAGAACGGCCCCTGCAGCTGGGAATTCCTGCTTGGAAAGTCAGGGTGGTGTTCAGAACTCCGAGCTTAGCATACAAAGACAAATCAACATGGCTGTTTTAAGTTATCTCTTACATCATTAACGTTAGCTACAATACTTGCTTTCATGGAGGCATCCAGGTTTTTCCCACCTTGTAGCTCGAAAGCACGGAAGTTAAAAACGATGCAAAATTAAATGCAGCATAACTACCAACATAATGAGGAAGTAACAGAGGAATCAACCAACCATGTTTTGATTTCCAGTAGACGGGACCAATTTCCTTCCATCCGGAAGTTACAATCTTCAGATGTCTGTTTAATTTACATAAACCACAAAATGTTCATGTACACTTCTAATACCTTAGTGCTAGCATACGACTGGAAAAAAAACACTGGAAAAAATTAGCATTTAGTGATAGAGGTGTGTTTTTTTTCTTGCATTTTCACCAAATTTTGTAATTGATGGCCCAATCGTGAAGGCCTAGTATCATGGCTATCAAGTCATGGCTGCCACTTCTTCATACAGACCTCAAAATCAACTCATTCTACCAGAACTCTAACTACAAGCTCTCTCTCAATAACAACAGTCTGTCCTTGATTACACGATGAACTAAAAACGTGGAGGAAGTCCTACAGGAATTCCATAAGGAAACACAGAAATGAAATGATCTTTTTACTGTACGGAATGACTTACACTATATGTTATCAGAATGAATCAGAAGTGCCAAAATATGTGCGAAATATATGGGTAATTAAAAAATTCACAAAACAAAGCTGAACTAATTCCAGTACAGAAATGCAATATTGTACACACAAACATAAACATGTAGGATATTCACTGATTGATTAACAGAGTTATGAAGCCCCTCCTCCTTCCTGTCTACTTTCTGCAAAGGTGCCTCTACCTTCTGTTTACCGTGATGCACCTCACCACCTCCTGTGCGCTTTCTCTCCCTCTCCTGGGGTGGAAAATTCAGATCCAGAAACTAAAACTCTTCCTTAGGAGAGCAGCTGCCTGGCCTCCCTCTACTCCAAGTTTGAGTTAATTAGAGAAACTAAGCAGTTGGAGCAAAATTGTTTGAGGATTTTTCATTTGTGGACCCTTTTGTCATAAATCATTCCAAAGATTTTATCTTCTGTAAAGATACAAAGGGAAAAAAAAAACATGAGTAGGTCTTCAGCTGAACTGGGAATTAGTTGTGTTTTTCTAAATGACTTTACTTTAGAACTGTAGCGTTGTGTTTAGAGCTTTAGAGCTTAGAGGGTTTAGAGCTTAACTTGAGAAGTTTTTTGGTAACACTTTCTATGAATGTCACCTTTGTAAGCATCTATAAACACATTCATAACATGTTATAATGCGTTCATAAGACATTATAAACATAGCTATAAATATTTATAAAAATGCATTATACAGTATAGCCATGCTTATTATGCATTATGAATTGTTAACATAGTACATTATAAGTGCTGATCATAACAAATTATAAGAGCTCATAAGTCGTATTTGTCCGCTCTAAGTAAAGTGAAGCGTACTGTACTAAAGCCTCCTCCAGTGTTAAGAGTGAGGCTTCAAGTTGAAGTATTTACTGAAGGGATTTACTGAAACACTAAAACATACACAATAAAGCACATTACAGGCTTCAAATGTCAGAGTTTAAACTAGAGCTGCCATCAGTGTTTTACCCAGTGTGGGAAAGGTAATGTACACCACCGTTAGCTTGGTATTTGTCTTTACTTTACGCTCTCCAAGCTGGGACTGACTTCTTTGGCCCTGACATTATAACATGTTATTAACACTATTTATAATGCATTATATTAACAATTCATAATGTATAATAAACATGGCTATAAAGTGTAATTCAGTGTAATTCTTTTTATAAATATTTATAACCATGTTTATAATGCCTTATGAATACATTATAACATGTTATAAATGTTTTTATAGATGCCTACAAATGCGACATTCATAGAAAGTGTTACCAGTTTTTTTTGTGTGTGTGTGTAAATGTGTAAAATGCGATGTGGATGAATAGAAAATAGTTGGTGGCAGAGTCTGAATTAGAAAAGAATACATGGATTTCGAGAGATGAAGTCACTGAATGCATTTTACCTCAGAGCGGTGAAAACTGATCCACAGTTTAGTCATTTGTGTTGACACAGGCCCATAACCAGTTGTATAAAAAAGAAAGATAAAGTGATTTGCTTTTGTTCTGAGGATGAAACGTGTGCGAGTTGTGTGTCGTGCTGCTTGTCATTCCATCCTTCTGTACAGCATTGTTGAAGCTCTAGTAAGGGTAACACTACATAAGACTATAGTGTTTTATTATAGCACATCTCTGCTACAAATGAAAACAAACTTCATTTTTCAGTTTTGAGCACCTACTGTTTACAAACAAATCTGTTGGAGTACAAATGTTACAACATACCCCATAGATGGGGTCAATCATAACAGACTGAGGGGCTGGTTTTAATAGAAAGGACTGGTAAATGAACACAAACACATTCTATACAGCTCTATGTTGTTCAAACCAGATGAGCGAATAAATATGATGAGTGAAAAGAGGTTTACATTTCATTTATCATATTAGCATCTTACATTTTGGCCCACACTCCACTGCGTGACTGTGTGTGGCTCACCTTTGCTATGTGAATGAACTGCATTAAGTTTATTATTGGTGTTTGTCACTATCCCAGGGTTTCAGTCGTGATTTTTCTGTTGTGGCCGTCATATTTGGGACCGAATTTCTGGATTCGCTGCTCTGCATGAGCATAACTAGAGGTGAAAGATGGCTAAAATCAATCACCTTGGTCGATAAAATAGGCTGCAATCCTTGTACAGTTTCCCCTGAACTCCTGGTCCCACTGAAACTGGTGGAAAGCTTCCAAATTTGTGTTTTCCTAACATTTATATTTATCTCATACTCAGCCCCTCTCCCTAGTCTGGAGAGTCTCTCAAAGCATTAAAAAGCACAGAAGCCCACCGGCTCTTCACGTTTGGGTGGGTAAAGGATCCCATGGTGTTGCATAAAGAGGAGAAAAAAGTCTGTGATCATAGGAGGGTAACGACATCAGCTAATTAACACAGATGTGAACAATGCCAGCCTTTGGATCACTTTAGCTGATGTTAACAGCCGAGAGATAAACAGTCGCCCCCCTAACGGAGCTGCAGACAGGTATAACTTTACTCTCTGTTCCTGGAGATTTTAGATGAGGTTTGAATGGAGAAACATAAGCATTAAATATCAGACTGAATGTCGTGGGTCGGAAAACTATGTTGTGTTTCAGACAGACGTGATTCTGTAAGTTTGCTAGTGCAGTTAGTTCAGAGTTCAGCTCCAGTCCTGAAACCTCTGCACTGCATAACTGTGGTTTCCTGGTTAAAATCCCTGATATTATTAGCTAATTAATCCCTTCTTGAGCTGAACGAGGTGTGAACAGCAGAGAGAAACACTAAACTATACAGTGGAGGGGCTCCAAACCTGGAGTGAAAACACTGAATTAAAGGTCTGTGTGTCTCTCGTCATTCTCAGCTTCTGTCACATCCTGCAGGTGAATCATTCACAAAGCACAGCAAATTGAAGTCGTCACATTAGCAGTCAGTTCCTTGATTCGGTCCTCAAAATGGCAGCGACTATGCAGTGTGACGTCACGCGAAACGTGAGAATACTCATAAACTAAGCACGATTCCTTCTACAGGTGTGGCCAACGCAGTGACCATAGTGATAGTGGTTTGTATCGTCGCCCTGGTGGTCATGGTGGTCCTGGGCGTCTACCAGCTTTACCTTACGCACATGCAGGAGGACATGGACCTGCACACGCTCTCCGAGAAAGAGAAGGACTTGGATCTCTCTGCTCTCACCATCACCGTGAACCCACTGGAGGTAAGAGAGAGAGAGAGACAGACAGAGAGAGCCCAGCCTTCACTACAGTACTGTTTCAGCTTTGGGTGCACGTTAATGCAGCATGTTTGATGTTAAAGTTACGTTCACTCCTCAGTCCATATATGGAAATGAAGCAGCACAAACAGCTCATTTTGAATTTGTTGATTTTGTGATGTCACAAAAAACAACAAATTTGCACATATCAGCCTATTTAGCCTTCAGCGATGTAGGCCCGCCCATTCACGCTGAAACTATAAGAACAAGTAGGGCAACCGGTCAGAAGAGAGCTCCTTTGCCTACAGTTGTGTGCAAAAGTATTGGCACCCCTGCTCAAATGATGTTTTGGCGATTTTAGTTTAACAAAGGAAAAGAAGTAAAATATAAAATAAGTGTGACGTTTATACAAAGGTAATCTCTCTCACCATGGGTGACATTTGAGACTTACGTCAGTGGGGGGCAAGCCATCTCAGTCAACTATATAGTAAGTATAAAACCTATTTTTAGCAAAAACCCATATTTATCAAAGTATAAACGGTGTCCTACCTTAGTGAAGTGCAAGATGGCGCCCTCGGGGCACGACATCAAGTGCACTTGTTTTTCCAAGTCCATGTAAATGGCCTGTTCAGTATTCAGCACTGCAATGTCAGACAGTCTCTCCTGACTCATAGTGTTTCTCATGTATGTTTTCAATCGATGCAAGCAAGAAAAGTTCCTTTCACACAATGCACTGCTCATCACCGTGGTCAGGAACAACTTGAAGAGGTTACTGATGTTTACTAGGCTTTTACCCAGATCTGACACTTCAAAGTGTGCCAGTCGTTGATTGGAGCCGATTTCTTCTGATGGCACAGTTGAAGAGGGACAGTTCTGCACTCATCTTCTCTTTAGGAATTCCTTAGCAACAATAAACAGACACCAGGCCTGCCTCAGTGTGTTTTAGAGCCAAGAATGTTGTTTAGTGCATTAGGTTTTCCAGATCATTCCACCCGAAACTGATCACGGACCTCTTAAACAGTTTTGTCCAGTACAGCAAAATAATTCCTTGTAGTAACCCATAGCTGAGTCAGCATCTGATCCAGTCACTGTCACTTTCAGTTCAGGAAATGTTAATGTTTCATGGCCTTTACCATTGACTGTGTCAACTAGGGGTGCGGGAAAAACTCTATTCTTAGATGCATTGCGATGCGGACGTGAACGATTCTGAATCGATTCGTAAATGTCAAAAATCGATTTTCTAAATATTTAATTTATAACGCAATGTTGACGGAACGCAAAAGGCGGAACTGGAAGTGGGTAAGTGCAGCGCCCGGACAGTCTGTGGCGGCACATAACAAAAACACTGCTGGGTGAGTGAGAAATCCGACCGGCTCCCTCTGCATTAAAGCCAGGTTAGGTCAGGAGTCACAAAGCAAATGTAAAGAAGAGCCATTTTGCCATTCAACGAAGTCAGACCACCTTGGGAGCCACAACATTTAATGTCCAGTATGTCTCAGTACGTGTTAATGTCCTAGTATGGGCTAAAAATATAAACGAGAGCGCAGATTTACTCTACTCTGCTTTAAGCTTTAGCCGCTTTCCTCCCATCTCCGCCAGAAACCTTTTCTTCAAAACTAGAAGAGTTTCTTGTAAAATGTCTCAGCGTCCGGCTGTTTTACGAGGCTGAAGTCACTTCTCATTCACTACTCGTTCTAATTTTCCTGTTCCACCTTAAATTCTGAATGTAACTGCTGCACCATTTAAGGTGGAACGGGAAAATTCGAAAGAGAAGCGAGTTCATTTTCGCAACTTTTTAGAGAAAGACAGTCTCTCAGCAGATTTAACCAACCGCGCTGCTTATAAATGCGAATAAGTCCTCCAAATGTTCGTCTTAATCTCTGTTTTTTCGTTCGCTACTGGCGAGGCCAGACCTCGGGGCTATGTGACCTGCTGTCTGTTCTCAGTCGTTGAGAACCAGGGCTTTCACGCTATGCTGCACACTTGGGAACCGAGATTCAGCGTCCAGTCTCAAAATCCCCCCCCCCCCCCCCCCCCCCCAACCTCTCTCTACAACGAGACGAAAACCGAAGTTATAAGATTACTAAAGAAAACGGGAAGGATGGCTGTAACGCGCTGCGTGGACACCCATTACCGCTGGGTCTTATTTCAGGGTAACAGCGCATTTTATCGCAGATGAGTGGCAGCAGCGTCTCTGACTGAGAGCCTTCTAGTTCACTTGCTACATCACTTCCATTTGGTTTATTAATGAAAGATATTTTAGATATTTAAAGCAAAGTATTTGTAATGATCCGTAATGCATTTACATTATGGATCATTACAAATACTTTGCTTTAAAACTACCAAGTTTTTAGACAGTAGGAAGATATAAATCATGTATAGAGAAAAAAGATGCATCGAGATGCATCGATAATCGTTTTATAATCGCATCGCAGCCCTCTGAATCGTAATCGAATCGAATCGTGAGGTGCCTAAAGATTCCCACCCCTAGTGTCAACCTTTCGGCTGTCCATAGTTTGTGTTGTTGATTTCTGTTCAGTGAATGCACAACTGAGGGCTTGATTTGTGAAGGGGAACATGAATTAGAGGGGGAACCGAATCGGATACAACACTTGACCTCTTCCATGGATGCTGTGGGCTGTGTAGTTGTTTTGAGTGCACAAGTCAACTGTGTGCTTCCCAGAGCTTTTAAAAATCACTATCTGTTCCCATTGCTAACATAGTAGAGATTAGGTACTAGCTAGGCTCTTGACCGTGGCATAAAGTACATTGCATTGCATGAAAATGTGTCGCATCAGAATGCAGGCTGCCCCCTGGTGTCGTGGAGATCAGCCTCTATACATAGTAGATAGTTCTGAGAAATGTCAGTATTTTATAATTAAAGTGAGTTCACAAACATTTTAGTGGGGGCAAATGCCCCATGTCACCCATGACTCTCACCCTATTGAACCTGTGTAACTACATAAGACAAGATATGCTGTTACAACTATTAAGAGACGCCTGTGTAATTCCATGAGTAAAAACCTGAAGCTGAATCTATTAATTTAATGTATTTACATAAACTTTACTACTGTAATCCATCTGTGACAGAAGATATTACCAGTAGTTACATTGTTGTTGCATGTATTGTTAATAGCTACAGACACTTAATATAAAGTGGGACCCTTTTTTGCGCTTCTTGCAACAGCTTTCTATTTAATGTTACATTATTGCGAGTGTTGGGGGTAACTCAGTATAAAGTCATGTGTTACTATAATATGATTACTTTTTCTGTAATCAAGTCATGCAATGCACTACACTTTAAATTCTTCTTATCACATTTATGGTGCTTGCATTAACAGAACAATATTAACTAAATACAGTGCATTTAATGCATAAATTTCCTCTATATAGATTATCTGTGCTGGTCCTTGTGTGTAGTTTGTTGTGCTACCTGTGTCAGCAGACTGACTGATTGTGAATATGAGCAGTGCAGCGTGAGCTCAGGAAGCTCAACGAACAATCTGCTGAAGCATCTTATCATTATGCTATTATGAAACCGATGGATAAATCCCTGTGCTAAGGAACAGAACCTCATCTAAATAGCCCAGACTTCTTTTCGATTTTCATTCAGGAACAGCTCCGTGAGATTTATAGTTTATTCATAAAGATTGTTTTTCAAGGCAGCTGTTTTTGAACTGGCTAGTTTCTCAGTTTTCAAACAGGTTAATAACATTATTCAGTGTAACTGGCTGTCTTGTTCAAAGGCAGAGATACTGACATGTCTTTTAAAGGATGTTTTCTGTGATTTGCTATTCCTTTCTAAGTAAAAACTTAAGTTTTCCCCTTGTACTTTCTAATTGGTACAGATCTGTGTGGGTTTAGAGACACAGAAGTAAAGTAACAAGTAGTGCGATTACTTTTTTCAGGAAGTCATAAGTAGATTAATCCCATTATAGTTTCAGAGAAGTAAGTGGTGATTTGTAATGGATAACTACCCAAACCCTGGTTATTGAAAAACTGGCTATTGAAAAAAAATTTTTTTGGCACTTTATGGCAGGAAGTGGATGGAGGGAGACACACTTAGTGCTTGTTCAGTTCAGTTAATTGTAATTTATACCGAATCTTTTTTTGTGTCGTGTGTTCTGAAGAGCATCGAGGAGCTACAGCCAGCAGAAGAATTAACAGAGGAAGAAGTGGAGGAGGACGAGGAGGACGAGGAGGATGACATCACCAGCAGCGATTCGGACAGCGATGAAGAAGGAACTACAACTCCCAGCATGCAACCACAGACAAGAATGCTGAGCAAGATACAGTGGCCAAAAAAAACATTGCACTGCTGAGAACCACTTTTACACATTCAAACACACACACACACACACACACACACACACAGGCCTGCAAGCTGGTTGACCTCAGTGCGTAAAAAAGAAGGAAAAGATCCACGAAGCACAATTTTCCCTTAAATATGTGATGAGATACCATGAAAAATTTACATTTCCTTGAGGTAAATATTGTACCATCACTGCAAATATTTTGGCAAGTGAAATTATGTTGAATCTAGTCAGTACATGTAATATTTGTCATTGTTTTGAGTTGCTGTTATAATGTTATAACGCCATTCAACTTATTTCTAGATGTTTATATGTGTTGTAAGTCAGTATAACTACAGAAATGGTCTCAATCCATTGGCAAACAGTTTTATTTATTTCAAGCCATAAAAATACTACATACAAAAAGACAATTCCACTAGTTAGAGATTTAAAATTCAAATATTTCTACAGATAATTTGAATAATCATTGAAATCTTACAACTTCATGTAATGAGGAACCTTAGATATATTGAGCAGATTTAGAAGATTTCATTTGAAAAGATTTCATTCTTTGCAGTGATAGTAACAAAAATGTGGCGATGCTGGAGTTGGAGCATACTGGGTGAGTTCTAAACTGGGTCTGAGACACTTGGCTGATTGCTAGGACAGCAAAGTAGTGACACAGCCAGAAATTTCATTTAAGGAGGCCATCGTACAAGTCTGGGGGGGGAAGCAGTCTTAGCCTCAGACTCTCCACCCGCATGTAAATGAAGAATCTGGTGTCTACTGTACAAATCAAAACTGCTGGGATTTTGTTAGCTGCATTCTGGTTTACTGGTACTGTTACTGCTAAATGGTACTTGTAGTGCTAAATGGTACTGCTAAATGGAACTGATACTGCTAATTGGTACCGCTAACTAGTACTGGTACTGCAAAATGGTACTAGTACTGTTTAATGATACTGCTAAATGGTACTGCTAACTGGTACTTGTGCCATTTAATGTTACTGCTAAATGGTACTGATAATGCTAAATGGTACTGCTAAACGGTACTTGTAGTGCTAAATGGTACTGCTAAATGGAACTGGTACTGCTAATTGGTACTGCTAACTAGTACTGGTACTGCAAAATGGAACTGGTACTGCTAATTGGTACTGCTAACTAGTACTGGTACTGCAAAATGGTACTAGTACTGTTTAATGATACTGCAAAATGGTCCTGCTAAATGGTACTGGTACTGCTAAATAGTACTGTTTACTGGTACTGTTACTGCTAAATGGTACTGCTAACTGGTACTTGTACCATTTAATGTTACTGCTAAATGGTACTGCTAAATGGTATTGCTAAATGGTGCTGCTAAAGTTAAATGGTACTGCTAAATGGTACTTGTAGTGCTAAATGGTACTGCTAAATGGAACTGGTACTGCTAATTGGTACTGCTAACTAGTACTGGTACTGCAAAATGGTACTAGTACTGTTTAATGATACTGCAAAATGGTCCGGTTAAATGGTACTGCTACTGCTAAATAGTACTGTTTACTGGTACTGTTACTGCTAAATGGTACTGCTAAAGTTAAATGGTACTGCTAAATGGTACTTGTAGTGCTAAATGGTACTGCTAAATGGAACTGGTACTGCTAATTGGTTCTGCTAAATCGTACTTGTGCTGTTTAATGGTACTGCAAGAAGGTCCTGCTAAATGGTACTTGTACTGCTAAATAGTACTGCTTACTGGTACTGTTATTTCTAAATTGTGCTGCTAACTTGCACTTGTACTGCTAAATGGTTCTGCTAAATCGTACTAGGGCTGCTAAAACTAAATGGCACTGCTAAATGGTACTTGTACTGCTTAATGGTACTGGTGCTGCTAAATGGTACTGCTAAATGGTACTGGTACTGGTACTAGCCTACCTTTTACAGCACTGTTAGGGTGACTGTTGAAGCCTGAAATGACCTTGTCACTCTGCTCATTCCCAACTCAGTACTGAACTTTGTTTATGCTCCATTACACCAGTCAACTACTATACTAGCTAGCCAGGCAATGGTCAGCTTCACAGAGAAACAAAAAAAAATACAGAATTACACACTTTATTAACAAAGTATCCAGTTTTTACCATTTCAAAAATGATGTTGCATAGCAAAAAAGAAAAAAAAATCTGCCACTTCAAAGCTTGCAAAACCAAAGGAGCAGACTTCAGGTACTACACACCTTGGCTGATTCACTACATTTGAGATAAGGGCAAAATTGTGTGAATTAGATTTTTTCCTGAGCTACTCCTTTAAAAGCCACTCAAAACAGCTGCAGACATTACTTAGAATAGCAGCTTGCTGAGGGGACTCAATACACAGCATGAGCTATGAATTAAAAATGAATGCAGCCTTTAAAGAGAAGCGCTCTGTCACTGCAGGAGTGTTTAGGCGGAGTGCTTTGGATTTCTAACCTGGTTTGCTGGCAAAACTACTGCTGCACACAATCCAAAAGACGCCAGCTTGGACTCCACATGTGGGTGTGTTTGATCAGCCTGGTGTGGTTAATCTTAACTGTTTCTTAATCCTGACTGACCTTTAACTTCATTTACTCACCTACACTTCAATAGAACCCCATAACTTAGAACTCCACTATACAGTATATCCACTCTGTCCTGTAGCTCATCTGTTGCTGCATAGTTTAGCAGCCCCCCTTTACCCCCATTTATCATTGGTCAGTTTCTGATTACAGGACCATTGTTGTCCAGATTTTATTTGGGTGTTGGTCCATTCTCAGCACAGTGGTTGGTAATGGGGGGCTGGGCCCACTTAGACTTTTGGTTACTCATCAATGCTAGTAGGCTAGATGATGTATTTGTGCAGCACTTTGAGATCTATTTGTAATGCTGAATATAGAAAATATGAACAAAAATGTACTGTTACTGCTAAATGGTACTATTAAATGGTACTGATCATGCTAAATGTTACTGCTAAATGATAGTGGTACTGCTAAATGGTACGGGTACTACAAAAGCTGAATGGTACTGCTAAATGGTACCTGTACTGCTAAATGGTACTGGTACTGCAAAAGCTGAATGGTACTGTTAAATGGCACTTGTACTGCTAATTGGTAATGCTAAATGGTACCGGTGCTGCTAAATGGTGCTTGTACTAATAAAGCTAAATAATACTGCCAAATGGTGATGGTAAATGGCACTTGTCCTGCTAAGGGGTACTGGTACTGGTACTAGCCTACCTTTTACAGCACTGTCAGGGTGACTGTTGAAGCCTAAATTGATGTTGTCACTCTTTCCCAAAGCAATACTGTGGTCCATTGTCAGCACAGTGGTTGGTAATGAGGGGCTGGGCCCTCTCAAATTTTTGACTGCTCAACAGTGCTAGTAGGCTATAAGATGTACTCATGCAGCACTTAGAGATGTATTTGTAATTTGAAAATATGAAGAAAAATGTACTGTTACCTGGTAACTGGTAGTGGTACTGCTAACTGGTACTACTAAATGGTACTGATGATGCTAAATGTTATGTAACAGTTTTAAAACACAAGAAAGGCAGAAAAGACAGAATAGGGAACGTATATATATATATAAAATCATGGTGGTTGTCAACCTTATTATTGCGTGATTATCGCGTAATACTCCCTAGCTGGCCCCCTCAAGCTGTAACCAGACCCACAAAAATAAAACTCTGGCTTTTCCACTGCTGCCAGGTGAAGTTAATGAGGGGGTTTCCAATAAAGTGGCCAGTTAATGTAATCCATTCTAAGCATCTCTATCCATTGACCTAGGTGGAAAGGAGCGTCCACCAACTTAACCAAATTAGCCATGTGCTCTTCAGTCAGTGGTGAATTTTGTTCTTAGTGGATCTTTACGCAAAGACGACCTAGTTTACACACACACACACACACACACACACACACACACTGTACTTACATTAGAGACTCCTGCTTGTATTTTGACTCCTTTTGTGATAACGTTTGGTGGAAAAGCAGAACCACCCTGCCAACTTTTCCAACCCGTCCCCCCCTTTTCCTCCCCATTCTCTCTGTGGCTGGAGGGCGGAAACGTGAAGACAGTGCTGTGAAGGCGGAACCTCCCATGTGAACCAAAACATGGTCATAATTACAGAAATCAGTTCCTGCTCTGGATCCAGGTGTGAAAACTGCCTTCTTAAAGCTAAGAGTCTTTGTCCAGCAGATGGCGCCTGTGAGCCTTATGCAAAAATTCATCTAAAGGTGCAGTAAGTCTTTTTCCTGGCCGGTAACTAAATAATGAAAACCTTTGCAAGTACATCCTTTTCGGAGATCCTTTTGGGATCAATAGAGCCTTTTAATGTTTCTATAACAGTCAAATACAGTTCTGAGGGGTTAAACATAAAGATTTAAGGAATACGCCAGCATTTTTCCACCTCATCTCTGTCTGCTGCACCTGTATTGAACTGTTTATTACCACAGACAGTAATTTAAACACGTTTCCAGGTACTTTGTAAAGAATAGAAACCACTGACTCAAACACACTATAGAAGCCAATAGGCAGTTGCTGAATTGCATGATCAAATGTTTGAAATATGTGACTTTAATGCAAATTCTAAACTATAACCATCACTCTCGGACAATCAGAGGGGAACCCTTACGGCCTTGTAGGCCTTCAGAGTTGCCTTAATGATTTCTGGGAACTAAAAATTAATGTCTGTAACTTTTAGTTCATTTAATTCAACAGAAAAACACCTGAATTTAAACTCTGCAAGTATTACAGTTCTACTCGTTTCATTATTAAGATCTAGATGGAAAAAAGGGTTAAATTCTTGAGATACCCAGTGGATTTTACCCAATTGGCCATTCAGGACTAGCTTTTCTCTGTGCTATCTAGGTTAGATATCTCTAAGCAAGCTCTACTATTGGTTACGACTTCAAGAGCTGAAGCCTGACGCATTAGATTAACTATTACTATAATTACCAAGTAACAGAGCAGATACATCACTGACTGTAAATAAGAGCAGCCGCCTAATCAATGGATTGTTAGAAAGAGAAAACAGAGGCTCAGCTCTACACCAGAGCTCACGACTGAAAGAGTCACTATAAAACTGCTAGAACGTGAAATAAACCCTAATATATGATAATAATCTGTCACAAGCTTCAAGTTAAACATATAATATGAAAATATGTCTGTTAGGAGC